CGTCCCTGCCTGGCCGTCCCTGCCTGGCCAGGCCCTGCCCCGCGACCTGCCACACCCGCCTCCGGTCTGTTCGCGAACTCTAAATATAGTATTTGTCACTGTCGAAAAAAAGAACAGAAAGCAACAAGGAAGCAAGCAAAGCAGCCGTGCCCGTGTTCCCCAGAGACAAGCTGGGTTAACATGAAGATGTATTTTCTTCCAGACGGTTTTTCCTTGTAATATGAGCGGGGCTTATTTTTGCAGAACCTGCATCATAAAGTGCTGAAACACGCTCGCTCGCTCTCGCTCGCTCTCTCTCCTTTGAGACAGGATCTCGCTCTGTCGCCCAGGCTGGAATGATGCAGTGGCGCGATCTCGGCTCACTGCTGCAGCCTCAACCTTCGGCCTCATTGTCTTAATAATACATCACATGCATTTACCCGTATATTTAAATGTTTTTCTGCGTCCTTTTTATTGGCCACACTAGACTGTACATTCCTGTGTGCCAGGTTGACTGCCTCATCTATCCCTGACTCCTGGCATGGCTTTGACTGGAATGTGATTTACTAAAGGTAGTTTCTCCCTGATTGTGAGCGCCCAAGTGGTTTCCAGTTTTTAGTTATTGCAAAAAGTAATTAACTGAGCACCGTTGCATCTGGGATTTTGAGCATGATCATTTGTGTAGAATGAATCCCACAAGATTCATTCTAAAACAAGATAGAATCTACAATCTATACCACAAGGCTTCTGGTATAGATTGTGAAATGAATAACTTCAGAAAAGTTATTCTCATTTTTGTACCTCCAGTAAGTAGCATTTGGGAATACTTGGCTCGAGGAGCTTCCTGACTGACTTTACTGGAGACCCCCCTCACTTCATACCGGGCCGGGCCGGGTATGAAGATGTCAACACTTAAGTGTGACTTGCATTATTGGCTGGTCATACCTGGGGCTTTTGTTGAAAAGGGAACTATGAGCATCCTAGTAACTACTATCATCTGAGTAATTTTTACACTGACTTCGGTTTATCTTGAGCAAATCATTTCAGTCCCCAGTAAGGATAAACCTAAGTTAAAGCAAAATTCAGGTAGGATTAGATGAACATGTTGGTGTTTAAGTCATGCTCTGAAACTTAGGTGTTGGGTTGCTAGGGAAGGGATTTTAAAAGATTGATGGGTAAGTATGAGATACTGAAAAAGCTTTCTTTGAAGTTTCAAGTGCTTGGCATCATCTCCATCAGTGAAAATAAGTGGAATATGGTTTTTCATCTTTTTTATTTACATTTTAATAACATATTTGCAAAAATAGATGGATTTTTTTGTATTTATCATTTTCCAGTTTGGTCATAGAATCTTGAAAATTAAGTACATGCATAAGAGTTTAAAAACAACAGTGGATTAATTTCTTGCTCCCAAGTTTTATTTTTTTATTTTTCAGACAGTCTCCGTCTGTCGCCCAGGCTGGAGTGCAGTGGCACGATCTCGGCTCACTGCAACCTCCATGTCCCGAGTTCAAGAGATTCTTGTGCCTCAGCCTCTGGCGTAGCTGGGATTTACAGATGTGCGCCACCATGCCCGGCAAATTTTTCTATTTTTGCAGAGACAGGATTTCACCATTTTGTCCAGGCTGGTCTCGAACTATTAACCTCAAGTGATCTGACCTCCCAAAGTGCTGGGATTACAGGTGTGAGCCATCACGCCTGGCCACTTTTCTCCAAAGTTTTAAACCAAAGCCTTCTTTGGCAGAGCTAGGACCCTTCCCATTCTGTCCTATGCTGCTTCCCTTTATAAGGACACTCCCATTGTTGTACTATAATCATCTCTTGGTCTCTCCAGACTCCCCCACTCTGAGGTTAGTGTCCTGCCCAGAGCCTGGTACATAAGTACCCAATAACTGTTGGTATGCGGGGTGAACTTAGAATATGCCATGTGTTTATTAAATTGAATTTGTAACTTGGAGATCTATGTGACAGATATTTCTGAGTGAAGTGGAAACTGGGGACAAAGACAGATGTTATCTTTTGGTTTCAGGTGTAATTGCATCCCAAGAGACACTACGGCTAGGACACCTGCTTTTCTTTCTTTCTTTTTTTTTATTAACAACTTTACTGAACTATAACTCACATACCATGTAATTCACCCATTTAAAGTATACGCTTCTTTTTTATATAAATAACTTTTTGAAGTGGTAAAATATATATAATGTAGATTTGCCATTTTAACAATTTTTTAGTGTACAATTCAGGGGCATTAAGTACATTCACAGTATTGTGCGATCATTGTCACTGTTTGCCAAACTTTTCAATACCTTAAACAGAAACACAGTAACCATTAAGCAATAACTCCCTGCTATGGTTTGGATATTTGTCCTTACCAAATCTCATGTTGAAATTTGATCCCCAGTGTGGCAGTATTGGGAAGTGGGGCCTAATGGGAGGTGTTTGGGTCATGGGGGCAGATCCCTCATGAATACATGAATAATGCCCTCCTTTGGAGGTGAATGGGTTGTTGCTCTGTCAGTTCTCACTATAACTGTTTGATAAAAAGAGCCTGTACCTTCCCCCCCAACCCCCCCCACCCTACCCCACCCCACCCCCATCTCTCTTGCCTTCTCTCTGTTCACGTACTCTCTACACTGCCAACTCCCCTTTGCCTTCTGCCATGAGTAGAAGCAACTTGAGGCCCTCACCAAATGCAGATGCCCAATCTTGAGCTTCTCCAGACATGAGAATCATGAGCTAAATAAACCTTTTTTCTTTATAAATTACGCAACCTCAGGTATTCCTTTATAGCAACGCAAAAGAAACTGAGACTTCTCCTTATCCCTTCCCCTTTTCCCAGGGAACATCTAATCTGCTTTCTGCTTCTATGAATGTCCCTATTCTGAGTATTTTATGTAAGTGGAATCGTATTTGTCATTTTTTGTCTGACAGTTTCACTTAGCATAAAATTTTCATAGTTCATCCATGTTATAGCATATGTCAGAATATCACTCCTTATTTTGGCTGAATAAAAAGGAATATCCTTTGTATATGTATGCATTTTATCACTTCTCAGCCTTTTGGCTAAGATCAAGTGTATATACCACATTTTATTTATTCTTACATTGATGGACAACTTGGGTTGTTTTCATCTTTTGGCTATTGGAAAATGCTACAATGAACAATAGTATACAGGTGTCTGAGTGACTGATTTCAAAACTTTTGGGTGTATACCTAGCAGCAGAATTGCTAGGTCCTATAGTAATTCTCTGTTTAGGTTTTGAGGAACTGTCATATCATTTTGTATGACAGCTTCACCATTTTACAGTCCCACTAGCAATGTACAAGGATTCCAGTTTTTCCACATCCTTGCCAACACTCATTATTTTCTGTTTATCTTTAGTATAGCTATCCTAGTAGATGTGAAGTTGTATTTCATTGTGGTTTTGATTTGCATTTCTCTTGTGGTTAATGTTGTTTAGCATCTTTTCATATGCTTATTGACTATTTGTATGTCTTCTTTAGAATAATGTCTGTTGAAGTCCTTTGCCTTTTTTTTTTCTCCTGGAGGTGGAGTTTTGCTCTTGTTGCCCAGGCTGGAGTGCAATGGCACGATCTTGGCTTACTGCAACCTCCGCCTCCCGGGTTCAAGTGATTCTCCTGCCTCAGCCTCCCGAGTAGCTAGCTGGGATTACAGGTGCCTGCCACCACGCCTGGCTAATTTTTTGTATTTTTAGTAGAAACGGGGTTTCACGATGTTGGCCAGGCTGGTCTTGAACTCCTGACCTCGGGTGATCCATCCGCCTCAGCCTCCCAAATTGCTGGGATTACAGGTGTGAGCCACTGTGCCCGGCCCCTCTGCCCATTTTTAAATGGGGTTGTCTTTTGTGTTTTTGAGCAGTAGAGTTCTTTATATATTCAGAATGTGAAACATCTATCAGATATATGATTTCCAAATATTTTCTCTCATCCTTGTCTTTTCACTTTCTAGATAATGTCCTTTGATGCACAGAAATTTTAGTTTGTTTTTGTTTTTTTGAGACAGGGTCTATTCTGTTGCCAAGAGTGGAGTACAGTGGTGCAATCACAGCTCACCTGCAGCCTTGACCTTTCAGGCTTAAGTGATCCTCCCACCTCAGCCTCCCGAGTAACTGGGACTACAGGCATGCACCACCATGCCTGGCTAGTTTTTAAATTTTTTTGTAGAGATGGGGTCTCCCTGTGTTGCCCAGGCTGGTCTTGAACTCCTGGACTCAAGCAGTCCTCCCACCTTGGCCTCCCAAATTGTTGGGATTGCAGGTGTGAGCCACCACACCCAGTCAGTTTTAACTTTTGATGAAGTCCAGTTTATCTGTTTTTTCTTTTGCTGCTATCCTTTTGATGTCCTATCTAAGAATCCATTGCCAAATCCAAGGTCATGAGGATTTACCTCTATGTTTTCTTCTAAGAGTTTTGTGGTTTTAGCTTTTATATTTAGATCATTGAGATAACTTTTGTATATGGTGAGATAGGTGAGGTTCAACTTAATTCTCTTGTGTATGAAAATCTAGTTTTCCCCATAACATCTGTTGAAGAGACTATTCTTTCCCCACCAGATAGAGTTGGCCCCCTTGTCAAAAATCACTTGGCCACAGATACGTGGATTTATTTCTGAACTCTCAAATTCTTTAAGGACAGAAACATTTTCTTCAGGCTGGGCATGGTGGCTCATGCCTGTAATCCCAGCACTTTGGGAGGCTGAATTGGGAGGATCGCTTGAGCTCAGGAGTTCGAGACCAGGCGGGGCAACATGGTGAAACCTCATCTTTACAAAAAATTACAAAATTAGCTGGGTGTTGTGGCACATGCCTATGGTCCCAGCTACTAAGGAGGCTGAGGTGGGGCGATTGTTTGAGCCCAGGAGGTCGAGGCTGCAGTGAATCAAGATCGCACCACTGCACTCCAGCCTGGATGACTAGAGTGAGACCCTATCTCAAAAAACAAAAAAAGAAGAATTTTCTTCAAATTTCTGACAGCGTCTAGTACAGTGTCTCTTGATAGCAGGCTCAAATAAATGTTGAAAAAAACTGAAAGCTGGACATTTATCATAAGAAAACTTTTGTTGTGAAGGTACATCTCCCCTTGAGAAAACAAATAGAGCATAGCTGCTGTAAATCATACAGACCCATAGAAAATTTTAAAAGACATGTACGACCGTGTGTGGTGACTGTAATCTCAGCATCTTGGGAGGCCAAGTCAGGTGGATTATTTGAGCCCACGAATTCAAGACCAGCCTGGGTAACATGGTGAAACCTCATATCTACAAAAAATACAAAAATGAGCCGGGTGTGATGGTGTGTACCTGTAGTCCCAGCTACTTGGGAGGCTAAGATGGGAGGATCCTTTGGGCCTGGGAGGTTGAGACCACAGTGAGCATTTAGTACACCATCGACTGCACTCCAGCCTGGGCAACAGAACAAGACCCTGTCTCAAAACAAAAACAAAAACATGTACAGATGCTTCTTGACTTGTGATGGGGTTATATCCCAGTAAACCCACTGCAAGTTTAAAATACTGTAAGTCGAAAATGCATTTAGTCCACCTAACCTATCAAACATCATATCTTAGTCTTGCCTACCTTGAGTGTGTTCAGAATACTTACCTTAGCCCACAGCTGGACAAAATCATCTAACACAAAGCCTATGTTACAATGAAGTGTTGGCTGTCTCATGTAACTTTTTGTACTGTACTGAAAATGAATGGTTGTATGGGTTCTCAAAGTATGGTTTCTACCAAACACGTATCTCTTCTGCACCATCTTAAAGTCAGAAGATCATTGAGTCAAATCATTGTAAGCCGGGCACCATCTGTATGTGACTTTGGAGTGCTTTCAGAACATTTGGTGGGCATTTACGTATTTGTTGAATTAGTGAATTACATTTGCTCAGGCTGGTATTCCCATCCAGAGAATCACCAGTTATGGAGGAAGTAAGTTTACTTTTGTATAGGGATATTCTCAAAATGAAAAATCAGCTGATGGTCCAAAGTATCTTAAAGTCTGTTTAAGTAAACATTGATCTCTGTGCTTTAGTGCCTGTTGAGGTTTTAGAATAATTATTCGTATTTACTTCCTTTCAGACATCTAGCCTAAATCTCTATTTTATTTCATGTTTCCCTAAAGACTCACTAGTGGGCATATTTTTATGTGCATTTAATGAGTTGACTAATGGTTTTTAATGATTTTCCCTGATATGAATGGCCAAAAAACAGATGTCAGTCTATTAACCTGTTGCATTTGTGGCTATTAAGAGTGTTTTCTACGTGTGCTCTCCAGTTTTTGAGCCAGAAGAGCAATTTCAATTAAATTTTAAAGTGGTGAGATTGGAATGGAATGTATAAAGTGACAGAGGTCATAAGACTAGTGAAACTGCTGGAATAGGAGATAGGAGAGAAGCCCAAAAGCAGGAGGCAGAGTTGATTTTGGACATTTTTCTTAAACATTAGATGGGGTTTGTTGATGGGAATTACTGTTTGCGGTAAGATCATTTGAAAAGTTTTCTTTACTCCATGTGCATTATTGGCACCCTCTACAGCTTTGTTAGAAAGTTGGATAGGTAATAAGAACCCAGGACTGGCAGTGGAGATGGCACTTGGAGGGATGTGTATTACTGATTTCCCCATAATGAAGGAGAGAAGCTAGACCAGGTTATTTTATTGTTCTTTGTTTTCCAGTGCTGAAAATTGTATGACTCTCTCATATTTTGGTTAAGGCCGTGTATAAGATAATGGTCACTTTAATCCTTGCATAGAAAGCAGTTTTTAAAGTTAATCTCTGCCTTTTAAAATTGTACAAAATTTGAAGTATTACAGCTTTTTATAAGCTGAATATACTTTTAATGTTCCAAAGAATAATGTCTTTTGTTTGTTTTGTTGTTGTTGTTGTTTTGCTGTTGGAACAGCGTCTTGCTCTGTTGGCCAGGCTAGAGTGCGGTGGCATGGTCATGGCTGACTGCAGTCTCAAACTCCTGGAATTAAGCGATCCTCTCGCCTCAGCCTCCTGAGTAGCTGGGACTACAGGCACATGCCACCACGCCCAGCTAATTTTTTTTGGTTTCACTGTGTTGACCAGGCTGGTCTCGAGTTCCTGGCTTCAAATGATTCTCCTGTCTCAGCCTCCCAAAGTGCTGGAATTACAGGGCTAAACCACCATGCACACTCCAAGGAGTAATTTTAAAAACATTTTATAATTATTAACCATTTATAAAAAGATATTTTTAGTGTTTTGCTTAAAATAATGGATAGCATGAACAAGAAAATTGAAATATTATTAACTTTGTATTAAAGCAGCATTTTTCTTATTTAGTCAGAGAAAGGCAAAGAGAGTAACAGAATTTTATATTGATTTGTAACTTTAAGAAGAAACATAATTTTGATATATAGTTATATAAGTAGAATTAGAATGCTTCAAATTTGCTAGATAATTGCTTCAGTACTTACTTTTATCTTTGTTTATAATTCTCTCCTATCAGGTGTACTTTTAATTATTGGAGAATGAAAAATTGCTATATTTTAGGTAGTCCTTCAATAATTGTTGAATGCCTGGATGATTGTTCATAGTTTAGAGAAGAAAAAATGTTTTCATGTGATCATGATTTCTAATCTTCCTTATAATTGGTGGTATTGCCTTTTATACTTCTCCATGAAAAGGTATTATAATTAAGATGTTGTATCTTAGTGTGATTTAGTAGTATTTGGAATTCCTTATAATAGAAAACAGAGCAATTATTTTAGGTTTGAATGCCTACATTACTGAACTTTCTGGAGTCTCTGAAAATTGTAGAGCAAAATTTGAATAACACCCCTAAATACATTCTGATTTACAAAGGATGCCTTATCGAAGTTTATATTATGCTGTTTGGCTTATTTTATTTATATTATATGTATGTATAATATTTATATATTATATGTATATATTATATAATGTATATATACCACATATAATATGTATATAAATATACATATTATTTATATGTACTCCAGCTTGGGCAACAGAGTGAGATCCTGTCTCAAAACAGATATGTATATCTATATATATCTCTATCTATCTATCTGTATCTATCTGTCTGTCTATCTATCTATATCTGTCACACAGGCTGGAGTACCTATAATTATACTGTCTTATCTATCTATAATATAGATATATAATATCTATCTATATAAAATATATATATATGGTTTGAGACAGGGTCTCATTCTGTCACCCAGGCTGGAGTACATATAATTACATTGTGTATATATATGTGTGTGTGTGTGTGTATATATGTGTATATATAGTATCTATCTATATTATATATAATATATAGTATATATAGTAAATATATGTTATATATAGCATATATATAGAGATATCTGTTTTGAGACAGGGTCTCACTCTGTCATCCAGGCTGGAGTGTAGTGGCATGATCACCAGAGCCTCTAACTCCTAGGCTCAAGCGATCCTCCCACCTTAGCCTCCCCAGTAGCTGGGACTACAGGTGCATGCCACCATGCCTGGCTGGCTTATTATATTGCTGTGCATTCTTTTTGTTCTTATTGTTGAAGGATACCCTCTGGTTTCATAGGGGATAATCCTTAAGAGTAGAAAAATTCACAAATTTGTGTGGTGCTAATTTTTAAAAAGAGGGATTTATTTTAGATACAAATATTTACCTAGTTTTTATTCTAAAATCCTTAGCTTTTCTGGCCCATTGGATTGCTCTTATGAGTGCTAATGTCTTCTTTAATATCTTTTTGTGAGTTCGAGACCAGCCTAACCAACATGGCAAAACCCCATCTCTACTAAAAATACAAAAAAATAGCCAGATGTGGTGGCATGTACCTGTAGTCCCAGCTACTCAGCAGGCTGAAACATGAGAATTGCTTGAACCCAGGAGGCAAAAGTTGCAGTGAGCCGAGATCATGCCACTGCACTCCAGCCTGGGAGACAGAGTGAGGCTCTGTCTCAAAAACAAACAAAAAACTTTTTAATAATTTGTGACTTCTGGCTGTTTCCAGCCAGAGAGGGTTAGCAATCTCCTATTTTTAACCAGGAGAGAGCATTCTTGAGCATCTATAGGAAACAGGCGCTAATTAAGGAAAGGGCTAAACTAGGGTAGATCTTGGAAGCAAAACATAGTTGAATTTAGGGTACTTTGGCGGGAGTGAAACTGTGAATCCCAAATCTTCAAATGTGAGGGTTTCCTATGTGAGGGTTTCCTATGCATGTGAATTTGTGTGCATTTCTGATTTTAGTACAGCTTAATTAACACTGCAGCCCAGTTACTGTTTAGTTCATTGCATAGTACTGGACTCTAGTTCTGGGTTGGATAGTGCCAGTTACATGAGCCAGCCACATAACTTTTGTCGATTCATCATTGGCACTAGTAAATTAAATGGGCTTAAGTAGGGGGATCAATTAAGTTTGCTCTTTGAAAGCGGACCAGCATATCCCTGTCTGCTTCTTGCAAACTCATCAGTTCTTTGAAGTTATCTAAACAAAGATTTCAAAAATTATGTTCCACCATAGTGTAGCCTTCTAAAATAAAGATTACATTTTAAATTAGTTACCACTTTAACACTGATGCTCCCAGAAGATGCATTGTGTTTATCCTGGAGTTTGATGTATTCCCTGACTCATAGCCTTGGGGCTTCTTGTGCTTCAATTTGAGAAGCATAGGACCCAGAGGATCTCTTAGGTCTCTTGCAGCTCTGATATGCAATAAATGAGAGTTTGTTCTTTAGTTTTGATAAAGTGTACCTTTAAGAAATTATAAATCCATAACAGGGAGAAATATGACTGATTTGCATGATGTAACATCTTTCTCTGAAAAGTAAAGATTGCAGTTCTATTTTATGTGAAAGCTGTTTCATCGGAAACTCCATGTAATTTAATAAATGGATTGCAAAATTAGAAAAACCCTTTGTAGATGTCATCATTGTTGCTTTCAGTCTCTCTTTGCTGCAATTCTGCTTTTTTCTTTCCTGGCTGCTAATTGGATTAAAGACTGTTTTTGCCAACCATGGCATCTGGAGATGACAGTCCTATCTTTGAAGATGATGAAAGGTAAATGTCTTATATTGCAGTAAACTAGCCTTTGACATTTTCAAGATTGTTATCATTCAAAAGAGTGATTTATCCAAGCTACTCTGTTAAGAATACATTCTGTAAAATTTCAGAATACATGGTTCTACTTTTAAATGATTTAGAGCAGGAGTAGTAAATACCTGGCGTGGGGGTAGCCTCCAGTAACATGGCATCCATTTCGGTAGAGCCTTGTTATGACGTCTCCTCTTTTCTCTCAGCACAGAGTTCTTGGCAACTACTTCAAAACGATATAAAATCCATTTACCATCTTCAATTTAGAGCATACAAAGGGGATTAGGGTGAACAAAGAGGAAGATGTAGTTAAGAGAACAGGCTTTGGAGCCAGAATCCTAGGTTTAAATCCTGCCTCTGCCACTTAATGTCATTGTAACCTTAGGTAAACCCTTAGCCTTTCTGAGCCTCATCTGTAAAATAAGGATACTAACAGTAGCCATCTCATGGTGATTCTGCGAGTTAACATATTTAAAGCTCTTAGAACAGTGGCTGTAATAATAGCTGTTAGCTATGATCATTATTACTGTAATAAATGATACTTCTGTCAAAGCTAAAAAGATACACCAGTATCAAAATATTAATTAGATATTATATATGTATTATATCATTCACACTCAAAAATATATGTTTAAGTATATGCCAGAAATTTCTGACAAACCACAATCCTTTATTTACTTCTTATTTTTGAGACAGTCTCAGTCTTTCACCTGGGCTGAAACATGGTGGTGCAATCATGGCTCACTGCAGCCTCAACCTCCTGGTCTCAGATGACTCTCTTGCCTCAGCATCCCAAGTAGCTGGGACTCCAGGCGTTAGCCATCCTGTGTGACTAATATTTTTGTAGAGACAGGGCTTCACCATGTTGCCCAGGCTGGTCTGGAACTCCTGGGCTCAAGTAATCTGCCCACCTTGGTTTCCCAAAGTGTGAGATTACAGGCATGAGCCCCTCACCCAGCCCGAAGTCCTTTATTTTTTTAAATAAGGTTTCCTGTAATAATGCCAAGAATATTTTTCATAACATATTAAAATTATTTTTATCTTTATTATAGGACGTTTCTTCCATGACTTTTTTCTGTCTCAGTATAATAAATTAGAAACTTTTTGTTAAAACAAATCCCTAGTATTAGTTTAAGTGTGGGAGGTTTGGAGAGTTCTTGTTTTAGAGTGATTAGACCTGAAAAGGAGAATAAAATTAAATACCATGGTTTTTAAATGGGAGCTGGTGGGGGAAGAGTAAAGACTTTTTACTGGCCTTTCCATGCACTATACTGTAGCCTAACCTAAAATACTAACCAGGATAAACTGATGCTTTCTTAATCCTATTAATATTCAGGTGGCTTTTTTTTAGAAGTAATCGGACTACGTACCCATATATAGTAGTTGTATCTTAAAGGAAGAGTGAATAAGAAGGAGAAAATAGTTACCTGTACTGTGAGTAGAATTTCTTAGGTACTGTCACTTTAATATTTTGACATTTTAGAGGTTTTAATCTAATATTTTCATCTTGGAAGGATTAATGGGTTATTTAATTAATATTTAGGCCCTGTATAATTGCTTTATTTTATTCCTTTAGCCCTCCTTACAGTCTAGAAAAAATGACAGACCTCGTAGCTGTCTGGGATGTTGCTTTAAGTGACGGAGTCCACAAGATTGAATTTGAACATGGGACTACATCAGGCAAACGAGTAGTATATGTAGATGGAAAGGTAGGAAGAAAATATGTTACTCTGTAAAATATGATGTATAGAGAAGCTTGATTTTGTTAAAATAGCATCTTCATATGTGAATTTGGGGTTTTTTTTTCTTATAGTCATGTTTTTGATCTGTATCATTTTGCTGTGTAAATAGTTATAGAATTCATGGAATATAGCATGTAATATTTTTTTATTTATTTTTATTTTATTTTATTTTATTTTATTTTATTTTAGAGACAGAGTCTCGCTCTGTCACCCAGGCTGGAGTGCAGTGGCTGGATCTCTGCTCACTGCAAGCTCCGCCTCCCGGGTTCACACCATTGTCCTGCCTCAGCCTCCCAAGTAGCTGGGATTACAGGCACCCGCCACCACGCCAGGCTAATTTTTTGTATTTTTAGTCGAGACGGGGTTTCACTGGGTTGGCCAGGCTGGTCTCAAACACCTGACCTCGTGATCCGCCCGCCTCAGCCTCCCAAAGCTTGCTGGGATTACAGGCATGAGCCACCATGCCTGGCAATAAAATTATATCTAAATGGCATTGCCTTTGTTCACTTTATGTTATTTCTAAAATTAAATATTAATTTTTCTTCCGTTTGACTGTTTAAAATTTTTCTATTTTATTATGTAGGAAGAGATAAGGAAAGATTGGATGTTCAAATTAGTGGGCAGAGAAACATTCTGTGTTGGAGCTGCGAAGACAAAAGCGACCATAAATATAGATGCTATCAGTGGTTTTGCTTATGAATATACTCTGGAAATTAATGGGAAGAGTCTTAAGAAGTATATGGAGAACAGATCAAAAACCACCAATACTTGGGTATTACACATGGATGGTGAGAACTTTAGAATTGTTTTGGGTAAGTTAGTGCTGTTTCTGCATAACTTATTTTTTTTTATAATGTCTGTTTAATTCCTGTAACTATTCAGACCTTCTGTGGAGGTTTGAAAAGGAGAGGGAGTGTAAGTGCAGGTGTATTTCATTTGTTTAAAAACATTTTAAAAAATCTTTTTGTTTCCCATCTGCTTGGGATTGTCTAGCAGGTGTGTATATTGTCCAGCAGGTGTATTTCTAATGTGTCCTGTGTAAATGAAGTATTCATTTAATCCACCATTTTATATGTAAGCTATCTTAAGCCAGGTTTTATGGTGATGGATTTGAGGATTATAAGTTTAGGTTTTAAAAAAATGTAATATTGCCAGGCGCGGTGACTCATGCTTGTAATCCCAGCACTTTGGTAGGCCAAGGCGGGAGGATCACCTGAGGTCAGGAGTTTGAGACCAGCCTGGTCTACGTGGTGAAACCCCCTCTCTACTAAAAATACAAAAATTAGCTGGACATAGTGGCACATGCCTGTAATCCCAGCTACTCAGGAGGCTGAGGCAAGGGAATCACTTGAATCCAGGAGGTGGAGGTTGCAGTGAGCGAGATTGTGCCACTGCATTCCAGTCTGGGTGACAAAGCAAGACTCTGTCTCAAAAAAAAAAAAAGTAATATTGGTGCAGGTTTTGATATTATTTGGTATTTCTCTTTATAAATATATCTTAAAGACAGTTGGAAATTTAGGATTTATCAGTAAGAAAGCAATATTTTCCTAGATAACAATAGGCTTAGTACTGCATCAGATAAAACTTACCAAAGTTTAGGACTTTTTGAAGAGTTTTGTTTGTTTGTTTTTCTAGGCTTTCCTGTTTGGGTTTCTCTTTTCTTATGGAAAGTAGATATATATCTTTTCTTTACCCATATTCCTATGTCTGTTAGCAGTTTTACTCATGTTCTCTATTGCTTGGAATTCTTTTCATTCTTTGATGTTTTTGAGACAGGGTCTCACTTTGTCGCCCAGGCTGGAATGCATTGGTGTGCATGAACATGGCTCAACTTTGTCTTCCTGGGCTCAGGTGATCCTCCAGCCTCAGCCTCCCGAGTAGCTGGGACCACAGGTCCACATCACCATGCCAGGCTAACTTTAAAAAAAATTTTTGTAGAGACAGGATCTCACCATGTTGCCCAGGCTGATCTTGAGCTCCTGGGCTCAAGTGATCCTCCTGCCTCAGCCTCCAAAAGTACTGGGATTACAGGTATAAGCAGCTGTGACCACCCTTCTTTTCATTCTTAACAACAATATTGGGAGTCTGTTGGCTTCCTGTTCTAAATATCCAAGTCTGCTGCTTCATAGCCACCCTAGACTTTCTTTCATGGAACTCTTTTGTTCTTCTAGTTATTGAACCCCTTAACTCCTGCTTTCATCTTTGTTTACTGGAATATATCCTTAGGTAATCTCCTGATACAGGGTGTCTAAGAAATAAACATAACTTTGATCCTAATGCTAAATTGATAGTTTTGTTCAGTACAGAGTTTTAATTTCAAACTAATTTTCTCTCAGAATTTTTGAAACCCTTATTCCAATAGCTTTTATTCTCTGTTGTTTGAAATGAGAAGTTTTGTGCCAATCTGAATCTCATTTTTTTCTTTCCAGAAGGTTTTGGGAGCTCATCTTATCCCTTATATTTCCAAATTTCGTAGTGATATATTTAGGAATATAGTTACTCAATCTGCAATAAAGTTTTAGAACCACTGGATCTCATTAATAATGGAAATTTTAGTTTTTAAAAGGATTATGATTAGTGTCAACACTCTTGAACATATGGGACTTTAACAGATGATGAAACCAGGCCTTTAGTTAATTTTAGGTACTTAATCAGCTCCTTCGCCAACTTGTAATACAGTTGATATTAATTTTTCCTGGGAGAAATGGAAGAGACTACCTAAGCTATGCCTAGCATACAGTTAGTTCTCTTTTAAACGCCCAGGGGCCTGTTTATCTACTTGTGAATTGTCTCTGGTCTTTCAAAAAATCTATTTTTCTCCTTTTACTCCTTGTCTGCCTTTACTCTTCCCTATCCATTTGCAATTCCTCATGAGCCTGGAAATGAGACAGAGTTCAGCCCAGACTTGTCCCTTCTGCTGTTTGGAAGGGACAAGGGACCAGGGTCGTTTACTGAGGTAAAGGCAAAATTCCCTGTTATTGATATTGCTTGCACCTCTACTTCCAAGATCCATCAAACTGTGGACTATGCTGACTACAGCCTACATTTTACAGATTAGTTATGAAGAATGCAGGCTCCCGGATCAGAGCTGTGCGATGGGCAAATTACTTAACCTCTGAGCCTTGGTTTCCTCATCTGTAAAATGGGGATAATACAGCGGCTCATGCCTGTAATCCCAGCACTTTGGGAGGCCGAGGCGGGCGGATCACGAGGTCAGGAGATCGAGACCATCCTGGCTAACATGGTGAAACCCCGTCTCTACTAAAAATACAAAAAAATTAGCCGGGTGCAGTGGTGGGCACCTATAGTCCCAGTTACTCGGGAGGCTGAGACAGGAGGATGGCGTGAACCCAGGAGGCAGAGCTTGCAGTGAGCAGAGATCACACCACTGCACTCCAGCCTGGGCGACAGAGCGAGACTCCGTCTCAAAAAAAAAAAAAAAAAAAAAAAAATGGGGATAATAATGGTAACTCCTTCACAGAGTTGTGATGAGCGAAGCTTAATTGATTTAGTACATGTAAAGTACTTAGCAGTGGTTCTCACATTGTGAATTCTTTAAAAATATTATTTGTCAGCCAGGTACAGTGGCTCACACCTGTAATCTCAGCACTTTAGGAGGCCGAAGTGGGAGGATCACTGGAGCCCAGGAGTTCGAGACCAGCCTGGGCAACATAGGGAGACCTCATCTCTGCAAAATATTTACATATTTGCTGAGTCACGTAGCACATGCCTGTAGTCCCAGCTACTTGGGAGGCTGAGGTGAGAGGATCACTTGAGCCCAGGGATTCAAGGTTGCAGTGAGCTAAATTGCACCACTGCATTCCAGCTTGGATGACAGAGTGAAACTCTGCCTCAAAATTAATAATAATTTGGCTGAGCATGGTAGCTCACACCTGTAATCCCAGCACTTTGGGAGGCCAAGGCAGGTGGATCACTTGAGGTCAGGAGTTTGAGACCAGCCTGACCAACATGGTGAAACCCCGTCTCTACTAAAAATACAAAAATTAGCTGGGCATGGTAGTGGGCACCTGTAACCCCAGCTACTTGGGAGGCTGAGGCAGGAGTATTGCTTGAGCCTGGGAGGCGGAGGTTGCAGTGAGCCGAGATCGCGCCACTGCACGCCAGCCTAGGTGATCAAGCAAGACTCTGTCTCAAAAATAATAATAATAATTAATTTAAAATATTATTTGTGGTTATTATTACTACTCATGGGCAAAGAATGGGCTTATCTAGGGTCTCCTGGTAAAAGTCACTTATATATATTATGTGGCAAGTTTCAAATGATAGTATTATATGACTTTCTAAATTTTATATTGAGAAATTAGAGCAAGGCCACGAAAAAGCTTTGAATAACAAAATATTATGATTTACTGAGGTCATATTATGTGCCGGATACTATACTAGGCACTTTATATAAATTATTCCTAACCCTTATAACAACCTGTGGGAAAAGTGGTATCTTCATTTGCCCCTGAGGAAATGGAAGCTCAGAGTAGTGGTGACTTGCCAAAGGGTACTGCTAGTAAAAAGTGATGCTGAGACCTGACCTCAAAGATCATGTGCATTCTTTTTCACCACCCCAAAAATGTGAGGCATATAAGGGCAATGAAAACAGAGTTGGTTAGCATTCTTAGCTCTGGTAGTCTCCACACCACTGAATATCATGGGAGGAAAATAAAACTGGCAGGAGGAAAGTACGTATGAAACTTCATGTTGAAAGGAAATTCTCTTTCTGTTCTGAAAAGTTTCACTTCTCTGGTAGCATTTACAGAACATAACCTGCCCAGGACTCACCTGGGAAGTCCCTAGCTATTGTTCTTGTGGCTGAGGGAATCTGCAGGCAGGTAAAGAGGAGATGCTTCAAGACGAACATGCAGCAGCACCTCCCATGAGTCACTGAATCCACCTCTGAGTCATGATAGATTTGACATTTTATCAGCCAGATATATCCTTTTATTAACATATCGTTTTGAATAGGTTACATACTCAAGATTCAGAAATCAAAATGCTCTTAAAAGACACAGTGAAAAGTCTTGCTTCCATCCCTGTTCCCATCTGCCATTTTCCCCCAAGATAACCATTTTTAGTGTCACTCTAGTGTTTCTTTATTCAGATTCAAGCAAATACACATATTATCTCTTATCACATAAAAGCATCTTGCTTTATTCACTTAGTACATTCTGAAGATCCTTTTATATCAGAACCTAAAGAACTTTTTCATGCTTTTTTGTAGCTACAGAGTAAATTTCAATAGTAAATATTTAGCTCATTCCCAACTGATGAACGCTTGAGCTGTTTCTAATCTTTTGCTGTTAAAAGCAATGCTGCATGAATAGCTTTGTTTGCATGCCTCTTGGAATACAGGACACATAGTATATTAGTACACATTTCTGGAAGTAGGAAAGTAGGACTTCTTCTGGGTCAAAGAATAATTGTATTTGTCATTTTAATCGATTTCTGCCCATTTGCCTTCTATAGTACTTTTACCATTTTGTACCCCCATTAGCTATTTTCCCCCAGGTTCTCCAGCAGAACATGTTGCCAAACTTTTGGATTTTTTGGCATTCTGCTAGGAGAAGAAATGGTATTTCAGGGTTGTTTTTATTTGTCTTTTTCAGAAGTGAGGTTGAGCATCTTAGGTTTAAGTTTCTTTTGTGTTTCCTTTCTCATGATGCCTGTTCATGCCCTTTGCCCTATTTTCTTTTGGTTGTTGGTGTTTTTCTCCTTCATTTCTCACAGTCTTCACATTAGTAAGTTTAGTCCTTTGTTCGTGCCATGAGTTTGAAATATTTTTCCAAGTTTGTCATTTATTGCATAACTTGGCTAATGTGTGTGCATTTTTCTTCAGTTGTGCTGTGGCTTTTTTACTTTTTTTTTTTTTTTTTTTTTGAGACAGGGTCTCACTCTGTCACCTAGTCTGGTCTGGAGTGCAGTGGTGCAATGTTGGCTCACTGCAACCTCCACCTCCCGGGTTCAAGCAATTCTCCTGCCTCAGCCTCCCGAGTAGCTGGGATTACAGGCGCTCACCACTATGCCCAGCTAATTGTTTGTATTTTTAGTAGAGACAGGGTTTCACCATGTTGGCCAGACTGGTCTCGAACTCCTGACCTCGTGATTTGCCCGCCTCGGCCTCCCAGAGTGCTGGGATTACAGGCATGAGCCACTGCGCCCGGCGTTTTCTTTACTTTTATGTAGTCAAATTTAATACATTTACTTTCAGGGCTTCTGGATTAGTAGTGTTCTTCAGAGGCATGCTAATACGCTATTGTAGAAACTCTGAGTACCTGCACATGTTCAGTAAGTATAGCAAGTAAAATACGAGTTTCCACCACCATCGTGGTTTATCATAGCACTGTGCACACTGATCATGTCTTGGGACAAGTTGAGTTTACCTGCAGCTGTGACTGTAGTGACTTTCTACTAAGGCTGCCACTGAGGTGACCCCTGCCCATATCTCCTGGACCCCTCTGGCTTTCTCTTTTTCCATCTAGCGCACCTCACAGGCTTTTCTCCCATCTCTAAGTGAGGCTCCCATCTCAAGGTGTGGGGAGGGAAAGAACCCCCTTTAGACTGTGCTCCTGGAGCAGATGGCCAGGTAGTCAGACCCTGGACTGGTGTCTCAAACCTGACCCCCAGACTCCTTGTGCACATACAGGCCACACTTCCTTCTCTTCTTCGCTATAATACCCAAAGCTCATCTTCCGGCTTCTTGACTAGTGCAGTTTTCTCTCCTGATACTCCCAGGACACTAACATTCGCAAGGGGCTCTGGGGACTCCCCCACCCTAAGGTGAGCTATGGCAAGTTAACTGATGCGTTTAAGTGTGTCGGGGCAGCATTTTGTTCCGTATTGTTCCTTAGTGTGCAGTCCACCAGCTATACCTATTTTTTACTTGTAATCCAGTAATTTTTCTCTAAAGTGAAACCACTCTGAAAAGGAATAGACATTATTGTACTACCTAGTAAGAAGCTGGACTAGATTTCTAAAGTGGACGTGCTGTCTATCCTGTATAAACCCCGTGGCAGCTGCTTTCGGTGGTCCCTCTGTGCCATTATCCAGTTGGGTGAGTGTGGGAGGCAGGGGAGTCATCTGGTCAGTACTGAAGGACATTTTGTGTGGAAAGGTCCCTGCTCACATTCATCTGTATACATCCTTCTTTTTTTTTTGTTTGTTTGAGACCGAGTCTTGCTCTGTCACCCAGGCTGGAGTACAGTGGTGTGATCTTGGCTCACTGCAAGCTCCGCCTCCCAGGTTCGCGCCGTTCTCCTGCCTCTCAGCCTCCCAAGTAGCTGGGACTACAGGCGCCCGCCACCATGCCCGGCTAATTTTTTGTATTTTTAGTAAAGACAAGGTTTCACCATGTTAGCCAGGATGGTCTTGATCTCCTGACCTCGTGATCCGCCTGCCTCAGCCTCCCAAAGTGCTGGGATTACAGGTGTGAGCCACCACACCCGGCCTGTATGCATCCTCCTTTAAAGATGGTCCTTTTGGATTTATTTTGTTTCATAAGGCTTCATCAATTTGTATTAGGACCATAACTTTCTCTTAAAAGATTGTTTTGTTTCATTATAGTTTTATGAACAAAGAACAAACACAGCTTCTTCAAATTTTAGGAGAGTCTCCAAGCCATGAAAGCCATGAAAAAGTATTGGGTTTTGGAATATTAATGGAGTTTTAGAGATCTGGTGTATCAATCCTTTCCTAAAGTAATCAATAGGAAAAGTTAGCTTTATCTTTAATTCACAGAATTATAACTTAAAGTTTTTATGCTACTTTTACAGAAAAAGACACTATGGACGTATGGTGCAATGGTAAAAAACTGGAGACAGCAGTAAGTTGACTATTTGATGACTCTAAGTGCCATGTATCTAAGTTACCATTGAATTGTTGCTGCATTTCCTAATTATAGAGATTTTATAATGAACCAAGGCCCTGTTGATAAAAACAAAAAAGGGATTAAGTACTCCTGACTCCAGATTCTGAAAACCTTTGCCAGACAGTGCCTGGTGCCATGAGTTTGGAAACAACTTATGTTCTTAGCTGACACCAACTTCGTACTCTCCCTTTCCTGTCCTGCACCATGCTCTAGCATAGCAAGTAAAATACCTAGCAAGTAAAATACCTAAAAAGAGCCCCTAGTTAAAATTATATCCCCAAAGGTTGGTGTCCTCTTGTGTTTATCCATTTGAAGTGGTGCGTTACATATCACTGCTTCTCAAACTTGCATGCACAGAAATTGCCTGGGATCTCGTTAAAATGCTAATTCTAACATTTCCCTGGGTGCTGCTAGTGCTGCTGGTCCACAGAACACACTTTAGGAATGCTTTATACCATACACTCAAGCAGAGCGTTCTTTTCTGAAAGCGAGATTTTTGTAAAATGACTGATACGGTATCAGATGACGCGAAGGTAGACGAACAGGAAAGGGCACTCTCACAAAGCCCAGAGGACTCTCACAAAGACCAGCAGTGCCGATGCAGGGAGAAAGAGGCTACCCCAGTCACTGTGGCCAGGCACACTGAAATCCCCATCTAGACTCTAGTGTGTTTGGCTTTTGCTATCAGGTGCTTGGATTATTGTGGCTGTGGATGGGATGAATGTAGGAGTGAATTTCAAGGAGGAATGAAACAGTAGTAGTGCGCACAGGGGAGAGAGTGGGAAACAAAGTGTGGGGCTAGGAGCTGAAATCACTGGGTGGTAAGCCCCATGTCTTATGGGATCTGCGGGCCAAGCAGGGAGTGCTGTCGCTGCGACCCGCCTTCATGCTGGCTCCAGATGTGAACATCAGGGCTAGAGATAATGGGAAGTTGTCTTCTCTGGTCACATTTTGCATGTTGTAGTTGCTTTTATCTCATTTGTATAGTATAGGTATAAGACAGTGAGAAAAGGTGCTGTTGGTAGTTGGAGGAAAGGAGGCCTGGGATTAATTTATTCATAAGACCACCTAGAACCTACTTGGTCTGATAGCTATTTCTGAGGAGGTGACAAAGCCAGAAATCAAAAATTACAAAGATGAAGCCACATGTGGTAGCACAGGTCTGTAGTGGCCTCCTACTTGGGAGGCTGAAGTGAGAGGAACCCCTGAGTCTAGGAGTTTTAGGCCAGCCTGAGCAACGTAGTGAGACCCCATCTCTAAAATAATTAATCAATAAATTGAAATTTAAAAGTCACAAAGATGAATGCTTTTCTGTTTCTGAGTCCTGAAGAATTTAATTTGGGCTCACTCAAAATTGAGTGCTTGAGCTGCTCTCTGGGTTAAATCTGCTGATAGAGACTTCTTTTATGCAGAGAGGCTTGGAGAGTGCTTCAGTATTTTATGGCCCCCTTTGGAAAAACTCCAGTTACCACTAACATAGATCAGATACCTACTCTGTGCCCAATGCCATACCTGGTGGTTCTTCCTGTTCTTTTTTTCCTAGCCTGGAATTCTCTAGATAGAGAATCAGCACTTTTGAATCTCATTTCCTCTCACACTCGAGAAATTCTCCAGTGCACATGTAAAGAGAATGCTGTTTTATGGTATTAAGAGTGTGGTGTACTGGTCGAGGTGACTCATGCATGTAATCCCAGCACTTTGGGAGGCCGAGGCGGGCAGATTGCTTGAACCTAGGAGTTTGAGACTAGTCTGGGTGACATGGCGAAACCCCTCTCTACTAAAAATACAAAAATTAGTAGAGCATGGTGGCGCATACCTGTAGTCCCAACTACTCGGGAGACTGAGGTGGAAGAATTACCTGATCCCAGGGAGGTTGGGGCTGCAGTGAGCCAAGGTTGCACCACAGCACTCCAGCCTCGGTAACAGAATGCGAGACCCTGTCTCAAAAAAAAAAAAAAAAAAAATGCAATTGTAACTTTGGGAGGCCGAGATGGGAGGATCACTTGAGGCCAGGAGCTCATGACCACCCTGGGCAGCATGACAAGACTGTATCCCTACACAAAACTTTTTTTTTTAAGTTAGCTGTGTATGTTGGTGTGTGCCTGGTCCCTGCTGCTCAGGAGGCTGAGGCAGGAGGATTGCTGGAGCCCAGGAGTTCAAGGCTGCAGTGAACTACAATTGTACCCCTGTACTCCAGCCTGGGTGGCAAGAGCAAGACCCTGTCACACACACACACAAAGAATGTTGTTGTGGTTGTAAAAAGGTGAAAATAATATTCATCCACATATCTTTGTTTTGTAGTAATTAACAGGAAACCACATGTGTTTGGAAAATAGCTCTTTATAACACAATTGCTTTCTCATTGTAACTACAGCCTAGTTTGCAGGGCAGTTTGGCCAGCTCCATATCTGGGCAGCCTTCCCCAGTACTGTATGTACACACAACAAACTCATCCTGTTGCCTGTGAGTTACAGCTGATTTTCTCCTTTTTATCTCAAAGCATCGTGCCAAAATTTTATATTTGTCCAATTGCCAAGAAGCTGGTTATATAGATTATATTACCTAACCCTTGCCCTTTCCTCTGAAGTCTTTTTTTCAAGGCTCAATATTAAAAATGGGGACAGGAACACACTGCACCCAAGGACATGCTTGTGGTATTCAGCACACCTCCCATAAGGAGCCACTGGCCACATCCTTCCCAGAGCTGGGAAAAGGCTTCTCTCCCTGAGGCATCCTGTGCCTTCTTCGGCTTGGTATTGTTAACTGGGGGGCCTTGTTCTGTCTACTTTGGCTGCCAGGAAGCTCATAGCCAGGGTTTAAATCTGATTTTCTGTTTCTTTGCTTTCTAGCATAAATCATTTCTTATCCTCTAAGCCTCTTCTTCCTTCCTTCCTTCTCTGTGCTAATGTTTTTACTCTAGATCACTGCTACCCAATCAAAGTACCATATGAGGCACAGATATGACCCTCATGTGTAATTTTAACTTACCTAGTATCCACATTTGAAAACATTTTAGATGAAGTTAATTTTAATATTATATTTAATTTAAATCAATATATCAAAAATATTATTTAACATGTAATCAGTATGAAAAGTTATTTTATATATTTTTTGTTTCATACTAGGTGTTTCAAATCTAGTGTCTATTTTATATTTAAACAGCGTATCTATTTTCAGACTAGTCAATTTCAAGTGCCCAATAGCCACATGTGGCCAGTGGCTACTGTATTGAACAGAACAGGTATAGATTTAGCGGTGTTTGGTTTTGTTGTCTGTATATTTTATTGTAAGCCACCTTATACCCAGAGGAATCAGATTTTCAGAGTGGCTAAGAACACTATCCCTGGCTGGATGCCGTGGCTCACACCTGTAATCCCAGCACTTTGGGAGGCTGAGGCAGGTAGATCACTTGAGGCATTTATAAATAACTAATAAATGTCATGTTTATCATTTTTATTTTTGAAAACATATGTTATAGACACATAGCCATGAGGTTTATATTCCTCCCCCAAGAATTTAAGATTCTTAAGGATTGTAGGGGTTATAAAAAGGAAACTTTCAATTCATAACAGAAATGTAAAAGCATCTAAGTACAAGCTTTAGACTTTGTTTTTCAAAGCTTATTGTTTAATACATTATTTTATTGTACTACTAGTACTTTTAGATGGTGTTAATGCTCTAGACAAAGAGAAATGTTGGTGCACCACTAATTCCTTCTTCTTTTGTTGATCCAGGGTGAGTTTGTAGATGATGGGACTGAAACTCACTTCAGTCTCGGGAACCACGACTGTTACATAAAGGCTGTCAGTAGTGGGAAGCGGAAAGAAGGGATTATTCATACTCTCATTGTGGATAATAGAGAAATCCCAGAGATTGCAAGTTAATGAATCTTAATCTTAAGAAGTAAAGATCAGGACTTTTTAATTACTGTGGTAATTAAATTGTTCAGTATGTACTTATCAGTACATTTAGTCTGCAATGTTTTTATTTTTTAAAAAGTTACATGAAACTGTAACATTCCAAGGGTCAGGGAAAAAACCAATTATGTATAGTCATAAAAATTACAATGTATGATGCAAATAATGTAAAATGTTTTAAAGACAAATGGAAAATAAGATATGGACCAAAGTCACTAATGTTTTACAACAGTAACCTTTACTATAATAAATACTGTAAACAAAATCTGCTTGATTTGTGTTTCTATGTATGGGTAAGTCTTTATGTGTTTTTAACCTGTGCTGTAAACTCTCTAATTTACAGCAGTTGGTACATAATGATACAATTAGTTTAACTGAAGAAAATGAGCAACTTTTTTTATTTGGAAACATTAAGGAAACTTCAGATAGTGAGTGTCACAAGCATTTAATTTAAAATGTAGGTTTCTGAAAATGTGGTTGTTTTGTGTAATTAACATGGTGAAGACATAAACCAAAAGGAAAAGAAGCAAACTCCTTTACACCAGATTGTATCAGGTGCTACCTCAGGCGGTAATTAAAAAGTGAGAGTTATGTGTCTGTACCTAGGTGTTGCCCCAGTGTTAGTGCTTCTGTGGCTGAATCGGCCTGTGCAGGCATACTCACAAAGACCAGCCAAGTCAGTACATTAAGTGCCTGAGGGTTGTCATTTCAATACTCGGAAAGTCTTTCAAGGCAGGATACAGTTTAATAGTAGACCATATTGGGGCATTTCACATCTGTTATCACTGCTGATCTTCTGTGTGAGGGGGCATTCTCCATTTTTTGACTTGCTCCATCCAATTTGGTTGCCATTAGTCACATGGCTATTTAAGTTAATTAAAATGAAGTACAATCAAAAATTCAGTTTCTCAGTCATGCTAGCTTCACTTCAACTGCTCAACAGTCACCTGTAGCTAGTGGCTGTCATACCAGACAGTGTAGAGAACATGTCCGTCACCACACCAAGTTCTGTTGGACAGCACTGGTTTAGATAGACTGTCTCAGGTTGAGTGAGTTGCTCAGTAGTGTCGTAGGATTTTAAATCCAGGTTTTTCTGATACTAAGACTTAGGCCCTTTAGTACTGTCTCCCTGCCATTAACATATTTCGAAGAGACTTTGGGCAGAACAGAGGCAGAACCAGGTTCTAACAGCAGGAAAGAGAAATCAGGCAGGAGAGAGTGAGGGAAGAAGGTTTGGAGAGGCCAGGACCCGGCAGGCCACATGCAGGGTGGCAAGGTGGGTGTGTGGAAAAGCCTTGGCTCCTTCCTTCTTCTAACACCTTTTATTTTGAAGTCTTTACCACTGGCAGCTCAGCGTACTACCTTTACAAAAACGTTTACGAGGCTGGGCTGGTGATTCATGCCTCTCATCCCAGCACTTTGGAAGGCTGAGACAGTAGATTTGCTTGAGCCCAAGAGTTCAAGACTAGCCTGAGCAACATAGTGAGACTCTGTCTCTACAAAACAAAACAAAACAAAAATTTAAGTTTTTAAAAGATTTTTACCAAAAAACCTCTCTGCTCTTCCCATTCCACCCCCTAGTTTTGCTTCAATGCCATTGGAAGATCAGGAAACAATCTAAGAGGGACTCTGAGGCTTGTTAAACTCACATTTGGGTTTGCTTTCATTTATTTTGGAGTTGTGGTTTATTTTCATTTTTCTTGAGTAAAAGTCTTCTTTTAATGGCCATATTTTATCTGCTAGAAAAATATTTTGTGCCATGCCCAAAAGCAAAGCAATTATTTTTAGGCGTTGGGCTTTGAGCTGTAGTTATTAGAGCTCAAAATCTGTGATTTGCAGTGGTTGTCATGTACCTAAGCAAACACCTGGGAGTGCAGTTTGATTCTGTCTTTATGGAGACCAACCTCCAGGAATATAGTCTTGCCTTTGACATGGTAAATCCATGTTTGTTTTGTTTTGTTAATTCAAAGCAGCACAATAATGTGGAAAAAGTATAGCCTAGATCTGAAGTTTGGCACAGCAAGTTAAGTTCTTGAGCCTCAGTTTCCTCACCTTAAAACTTGAAGCTATTACTTGTCTTAGTTATTTAATTAGATATTTCAGATGTACAAAAAATAGAAAATATGACACAGCTGTATTATTAAACTAGGTGTACTGATTACCCAGTTTAATAACTAAAGCATTACGAATGCAACTGAATACCCATATACCCTCCCTGTTCTCCTTCCCCTCCCTTGTGCAACTAATAACTATTGTGTATTTGATGTTTATCATTCCCATGCAAGTTTATATTATTTTACTTTTGATATATATTTTTGATATGTATCAAAAAAGTACAGCATTATTTTAAAATGTGAATGTTATCACTTTCTGTGTATCCTTCCTACATCATGGTTTTTCCCCCACTCAACAATGTTTTTTGATCTAGGTTGGTATGTGTATCTCCAGTTCCTTTAACTCTTGCATTCAACCATACAAATTTAGCTGCACATACCCCTAGTTTTCAGATGATCATCAATACATCAGCAGCTCTAATGAACATCTTTGTGTATGCCCTTTGAGTTTATGTTCAAGAGTTTCCCTTGGGCCTTGGTACTTTAAGTGTGCCCCTAGACCAACAGCAATGATATCACCTGGGAGCTTGTTAGAAATTAAGAATCACAGGTTCTTCCCCAGGCCTACTGAAGGAGAATCTGTGTTTTAACAAGAGCACCCCTGGTGATTTGTACATGAAAGATTTAGATTTAGAAGCACTGTTACAGGTCTATTGAGGAGCAGAACTGCTAAGTCAAAGGGTAGGTGCATCTTCAATACTATTAGATATTTGCCAGACTGCCCTCCAGGGCAGTTGTGCTGTTGAATACTTTGGCCAGCAGTAGAGTTTTCTTTTCCTAATATTTTCACCCCACTTGATATACGGTCAGGCTTTTAAAGTTTTGCCAATCTGAGGGTTTAAACAATATTGCATTTTAATTTTATTTTTTCTCATTTTGTTTTCTCATTTTATTTTTTGAGTATCTTATATGTTTATTGTCGATTCAGGTTTCCTTTTCTGAGAATTGTCTTTTTATTTTGCTTATTTTTCTGTTGAGTTGTTTGACAATTTCTAATAGATTTGTAGTAGTTCTACATATATCACAGAACTGACCGTTTGTTGCCTTTCCCTTACAGCAATATGAAATGTGCAATATATCAAGTCTCCCAGGCATCCCTTCAATTTAACACACAGAACCTACTTCCTCTAGTGAGTTCTGAGGGTAGGGACCACATACCACTGTCTCCCCCAGGACCTAGCATACCCCTCACAGATGGTAGGCAGTGAGATTCATATTACTGCAGCTCAAAGGAGAGGGCTGGGCTGGAGATGTACATGTGGACATCATGAGCACATGCAGGAGATTTAAAGCTATGGGAATGGGTAAGTTCAACTAGAGAGCTTGTAAAGAAACTAGAAAGGGAACCTAAAATTAAACCCCAAACAGCTACAACATTTCTGACTGGCTAAGGCCAATAAAAGTCTTAATTAAGTCAGGAAATTTTGAAGCTGTAAAACAAAAGACAAACATATTTGACAATCTAGCAAGTTTGTATGGCAAAATATACCATTAAAAAAGCCAATATACAAACAATAGATTTGGGGAAAATATTTGCAATGTAGATGAAGAGAGTCAACATACATATAAAGGGCTCTTTTTTTAAATTTATTTTTTCTTATACTTTAAGTTCTAGGGTACATGTGCACCAAGTGCAGGTTTGTTACACATGTATACTTGTGCCAGGTTGGTGTGCTGCACCCATTAACTTGTCATTTACATTAGGTATATCTCCTAATGCTATCTCTGCCCCCTCCCTCCATCCCATGACAGGCCCTGGTGTGTGATGTTCCCCTTCCTGTGTCCAAATGTTCTCATTGTTCAGTTCCCACCTATGAGTGAGAACATGCGGTGTTTGGTTTTCTATTCTTGCGATAGTTTGCTGAGAATGATGGTTTCCAGCTGCATCCATGTCCCTACAAAGGACATGAACTCATCCTTTTTTATGGTTGCATAGTATTCCATTCGCCATTCTAACTGGTGTGAGATGGTATCTCATTGTGGTTTTGATTTGCATTTCTCTGATGGCCAATGATGATGAGCATTTTTTCATGTGTCTGTTGGCTGCATAAATGTCTTATTTTAAAAAGTGTCTGTTCAGGTATATATAGAGAGAGTCTTAGAAGTCCACACAATGTGCACTTTACAGGGGAGTTAGTGACTGGAAGGTGGCATGAAAGGAACTTCTGAGATTGGTAATTTTCTATTTTTGATCTGGGTGCTGGTCACAAAGACAATTCACTTTGTGAAAAATAAGCTATATTCCTATGTGATTTTTATGGTATGTTCTAAAAGAATGTTAAACTTCAATAAAGATTTTAAAATGTACTTACAATAAAGTTTGTAAAAATATGCCCCACATATCTTCTTCCCTTGGGAATCTATTCCATGAGAAGAAAGGCATTAGTGTTAATATATAAGGATATATACAACGACGTTTATTGCAGCATTGTTCATAGTGGGGGATAAAAGAAACTGGAAATTGTAAATGCCCATCTACAGATAAATGATTGAATAAATGATTATATATCACGAGTTACAACTCAGCCATTCAGAAGAATGAATTGGAGAGGTTTCCATGACGTATTTTTGAGTCAAGAAAAGGTAAGCTGAAGAGTGGGTATAATGTAGTTCAATTTTATAAAACAATGGCAGAGCATCCTATCTAATGTATGTATGTGTGTCTTTACAGGTTTTTTTTCTGCATGTGATTATACAAGCATGGAGAGAAACAGAGGTCGCAAACAATTATAATGACATGAGTTGCCTGGTAGGAATGGGAGTGGGATTGATTGAGAGAGGTGGGGAGTAACCAAAATTAAAAAAAAAAAAAAGGTTTCACTTAAAAAATAAGCAGTTATAATCACATTTATACATTTACATAAAATTGTTTATAAGAAGCAAACAAAGAAAAAATTAAAATTGGATAAAGGAGAGAGTTAGTGAAACATTGAACCCAGGAGGCGGAGGTTGCGATGAGCCAAGATCAGGCCATTGCACTCCAGCCTGGGCAACAAGAGCGAAACTCCATCTCAAAAAAAAAAAAAAAGTCAAAATGTAAAAAGTGTTGAAGGTATCATAAAGCTAAATATAAAGCTAAATAGACAATCTAAGCCAAGACGTAGCAGAGGATGGAAAACCAGAGAGATGAGCCAAGCATTTGGAAC